TGCGCATGAGCGTTTTATTTCACTGTTTCTATATAAACCAGCGCATTTTCTCACTTTCTCGATTTCATGAGACTTAGTGCGTCCGCCGGTCTCAGCTTAGGACATGGCTCACTCTTCGTGACTTTCGGTGCCCTATTCAACCGTACTTGTGCCGGGAGTACAATTTGATCGTGTGAGTCGGTGCTTCTCCAAGTTTTGGGTCCTTTTGGTTGCTCTGCGTTTGACATGCGACACCAAAGTACATCGTTCGCAATCCACAACAGTGGAATGCGTTTCGTCTCCTAGCTGGACTGTCTACCGGCATTAGCAACGGTGTGCATTTGTGAAGCAAACAATACAAGCCACTAACTGTCCCTCGCCGACGTCGACCAACCCTCCCGTCTCCCCTTACTCTTCATTTTAAGTCACCTGTTTTTCTGTACCCGTGAAACTGCAGTATATGTACTGCAGTATTACTATTGATGATGTTAACGTGCTTGATCGTTTTGAAAACAGGGGTCTTGTTATTTGCTGCTGTTTCATTCGATGTTATCTCTTATCTGCTTCCGCCCCATTGTGGTCACGCTCCGCCAGGATTATCTCCGAAACTTGCCATTCATGTCCGCATGACAATACAACTTCCGCTTCACTCTGCGCAGTGTCGCCTTGGTGGTTAACCACAGTGGAAATTTAAAGTGCCCACGGCAGAAGATGGAAAACTATTGAACGACAACGCGATCACATTCATGTTCTCATTCTAATGGGGTCTGCGATGAGAAGTGTGCTTACCTACTGTCTTGGCTAAATTAGCAAGGCTTGCGCGGGCCATGTGTACCTGATGAAACCGTGATTGTTTACATCAATCAGTTTCGCTTACATCATTTCACCCGTTACCACTGAAGAAGATCAACTTTCTGACCACTAGACAAACTGCAAAGCGTTAGAACATCATAGATCACTACTTAGAACCACTTGCCTACCATAAAGGTTTCGAGCTCCTTATTTCATATACACCCGCTTTCTGCGAATCAATAAGTTTTCGTCTTCATATGACTGCACACAGCCCCCGGACCACCCGCTTCACTATTTTCATACTGTCCTTTCACAATCAGTGCGCTTCTAAAATTTGTAATTTTCCTATTAAATATTAAACTTAGCACGGCAAGTGTTAATCGTCAGAATCACTGGAGTCTTCGCATGTGACCAATCCACTTTTATTGGCCCATCCAATCATTGTCATCCGGTGTTTTCATTTGCCTCCAGAGGAATGAGAATTCACTTGTATTTTATCGACGAATTCCTTCTTAGATTCCTCTGCACGTATTAAAAACTGTAAAAACAATTTTATAAACTTCTCGTGGGTGGCGATTACTACGCACCTATGAATAGGTCTGACGGCCACAAAATTTCTTTAATTTGTTAGCGGTTCCACTCAATTTGTCCGGCTGACTAATTGTCACGTTCTGACTTCGTCTCTCTCTTCTCCTTTGCTTCTGTACCACGAGTCGACCACCTAAATATCTGATTTTACCTAAATAACGTACAACTATATCTGCCGTCTTTATCACACCGACGTTGTTGTTTGTACCGTTCACTGTGAATAAAAGCATTGTAGTTTACTGATAGCTATAACCGTTCCCTTGACTTGAGACATACTTTTTGCTTCACTGGTAACCTGAGATAAGACGCGCGTTTAAACAGATTTGACAATGGGTATGCTGGTCACAAGAGTTATGTTGTCATGCATTCATATGATTTTGTATATCTAACTATTATCATTTCTGCTTAATGGTATGTGAACCGTTCCGGAATCAGTCTGACTGATGAAACACTGAACTGTGGGGTGCAAACATTTGAATCGCCTAACGGGTTTCACTACATTTTTGGATTAAATGTGAGAAGTTCCCTAATATTTCCCATCAAAAAGTGTCTGCGGGACAGTAGAGGTTTGTGTGGGTGTTTTCCATTGTTTCCAATGGTGTCGAACGGAATTTCTGCCTATGGTACTATGAACTCGCAAATGCACTTGTCATAGAAGAAATAAGTTACCTGTTCAACCAAGAGCAGAACCGCCGACTCGACATCTTTGAGTCCCGTAGCAGAGAGCGCGCTACTCCGGTCCAGTTAACAGCTGCTAACACACTCCGGTATCTACTGAATGAACGCAAATTGCACTCGTTAATATCTAAACTTGCGGTGTATCCCCGACTGATAGATTTCTTGCTACTCCAGCATGGTTGCGCTGTGTCTCTCCAAATACCTCACGAATGTATCTGGGTGGTGATCTGTGTAGTCTTTGGGGGTGTATATTTGACCGTTTGGCTCTAAACAACTTACCCTACGTTTGACGTTAAACATCAGCTATGTAATGTGTAAACGTTATTTTATGATACTACTTTTCTTATTCATACGCACCAATTTTCGGATTATTTTGATATTAAATAGTTGAGCAACGATTCCATCTCACATTGTATCCTAATAACTTGAAGGTGCCGTCTTTTCTCCTATCCTATAATATTGGGGCGTTATCTGCCTCGACCAATGGCTTTTTAACAAAAGTATGTAGACGCATTGTTGAAGCAACAACCGTACTATGAACGCGTTATTACAGTTGGATGGATTCACCGACTTTAAAGAATGGGCAAACTTTGCTCTGCTTTTCATTGTTTGGCGCAGGCTATTCGTCATTTCTCAATGAAAAATGTGATTATTCGCTTAGTATGCGACCAGTCAGATACAGATGTCTTGTTCTAACACAATACAGCCGGCGTTTTGCCTCCTCATTCGGATTTGCGGTCGCCCTTCTACCCGGATTAACGTGCTGGAGCACGGATTCACCACCCATTGTCTGATTTTCTCCTCCTCTGTGATAATTGCGCGAGTGTGTGGTTCAAACGGACGGTTGTTCGTCCTATGTTGCATAATGGCCCTGGTTGTGCGTAACCGAATGACTTGTGCGAAACAACCTTTCCGTTGTCTTTAGAGTGATGACTTTTGTATGTATGTGTGTGGCACATCTGACAGCTGGACCGTTGGGAAAAGTGAGTGATGGAATGGTTACCTCATTGCTCTAACTTTATCACAATTCCGACCTCATGGTCAATGGTGGAAATATGCTAGTTAACGCAAAAGCACTCATGATTCCCTGTGCTCCCCGGCACCTTCTTAACCCATGAATTTATATGCGTCCGGTATTAAGGCACTTTAAACTTCAGTTCACAAGCGTAAAAGATTATTGAAAGAGCAGGATAAAATAGCATTTCTTCCTTCAGATTATACGTTTCAATTATAGCATTTGTTGAACGAGGCGAATGCTCATCCTTATGATATTAACGCAGCTATGAAAACTTTTGGCTTGAATACTTAATCAGATAGAAATATATTACGGCTTGCTAAGATGCAGTGCGCACATTACTTACTGTGTAACCTATGTTGTAATCCTTTTTTCTATGCTTGGCTGATAATTGGAATAATTTTACCTCCGAATTCCCTGGGGTCCAGCAACTACTGTGGCAGTCCGGCGCTTATTTATTTGCTCACTTATAGCGAATGTGTCAGCAGGGAGGTTATGTTTAAGCACTCGTTGCGTGGTTGGATTGCGATGCGCAGTCTCAAAGTGAACCTTTGTCACCTGCGATCATTGGGGCCGTAACTGAAGCAAATGGAATTTGGGTTTTGACCCCTCAATTCTTTAGTTCCACTTACGCTTATGGGGACAAATTAAATATCGGACGCATAGATAGGTTAATCCGTTTCTCTACTTTTATTCTGTTTCACTGTGGGAATTCGGTGTCGTAGTTTCAACTTGCACACTGTACCATCATATCTCGCCGGCATGACTCGTACGTCCTGTAATTCGATAAGCAACGCTACCGCACTAGTCGGTGCATAATCCTCCATTCAGCTCTACTAAACGGATACGTGGGAGCTGATGGCAATGCTCTCTGTTCATATTTCCAATCCTCACTGGTATTTTTTCTCACCTGTAACAGTTATGCGTTTCACCAAAAGCGACGACAAGGACTAAAGCTGCAGTCTGAATGAAATTCGTCCTCCTTGGCTGAATGGTTAGGCATCATAGCCTCTGCTCATGCCTATTACATATGGGATCAACTTTCAGATGTTTCTTTCCCATGTTACGATGCTAAGGGATAGTATATCTAGGTAGATAAATGGCCCGTGCGGGATGTTGGATGGTGTAGATGAGTGGAATATATCACAAACGGACTCAGTCAGGTGAATCATTAGCTTCTGGGAAACCACTGGACTTTCATTTTTGTCTTTTAACACTCATCATTAATGCACATTTACCATGTGTTAACTGGCAACACAAATAGTGGAATTCACTAGCCGCACATGTAGCAATGAATGTGCGCTCCCTACGAGTTCAGAGAGAACGAGGCGGAACTTCGGTGCTTTTTTCGGTTATGCGCTAATGGCGTACGATTTCATCTATGAGGTTGTTTTACCACGCAATCTTAATTCAACAATCGCTATACTATTCCCCAAATATTTTTATGGATCGCAAATATCTAGCTTTGTAAATCTACTTTCCATCTTTCTCTTTCCATACTCATGATCCTATTTCACAATTCAACAGCTATTATTTGGCTTTTTTAATACTTTTTTAAGCAACTTAATCGCCACGATTTATCTGACGTCTGATAAATTTTTTCATGTCTTTCCATTCCATTTTTCTAACAGGATCGCTATATGATCATTGTTATTTTGTTAACCACGATAATACTGAGAATCATGTCCTCATTTCTGTTTAGTATGGAATGATTTGGCATGTCACTTCTTCATCGTGTCACACGATTTTTCACCCGTTTTTTCCAATAACTGACACCTATTACAACGCCTGTGCGTGCGCGTAATTCCCTTGAGTATTCCTTCCTGCATGTGACATCACTCAGCTGAATTAATTCTTTAAATATCTTACGCTGCACTCAATTGGAGTTGATAGACAGCTGTTCCTCTGAATGTCATAATCGAAATATCCGCTGCAACTTATTTCACAGGTCCGGAGTACGCCAGCGCCTCGATATTCAGTTTTACACCACCTCCATCTGAGCCCCCTAACACAGACCCTCCGAATACCTGCTCCGAGGCTACACAAGCGGTCACACTTCATCAATCAGTTCCAACTTATACAGTTTCATTTGCGCATCCATGTTCTGGACCTAACAACGTATACGCTGGTCCAGCATCAATGCCGGTCGATTTGGCCACGCTACGGATTCAGTCAAGGCAGGTACCATCGGGTCAACTACAAACTACGGTGAGCCCTCAGACTCCTGGACTTTTGCTGTTACCACAATATCCTTTCGGGCGTGTGAACGGCGACGACTCTCAAGCGCTATACCAGTCAATTTCATCGAATCCCTATGTCTTCCCGCCGGAGGCAGGCCATCCGTGTAACATGTACTCACCCGACCATCAGACAACATCCCAGCAGCATGTGAATGGCTATACAAATCGCATCACAGTAAGTCATCAGGCAACGTCTCGGTAATGCTTTGAGACCACGGAACCAAGTTTCGTCTTATTCCTCTTTCTCGCGTATCACTGGTCATTGCTGTTACCACGCCGCTATCTTTTCCAGATGGGAACGGAAGTGAACAACGGATGGGTGCCTTCGACCACGAAGCGGCTGAGCGCAACTCCACAAGACATGGACCCAAAACAGACCAGCTGGGGGCCTGAAGTACCTTGGGGTGCGTCAGCGAATGCTTATCTCTTGTCCAATCCAATACATTTGAACGTCCTTCCCCATTCGCACGCATCAGAGATGCTTGCCTTTACACAAAGCGGTTCCCAAATTCCCCCACAGCATTATATTCCTACTCATCTGGTTTTCCCAATGTTGTCAACACAACAGCCGTCAAACCCCCTGGTTGAAAACATCCATGATTGTAATGCGCGCCAGATTGATTCGAATTTCCGTCGTGCTAGCTCAGTTGGGGCTACGAAAGGACCAGTTGGTTATCCTGCACTTTCACATGAAAATTGTATCCGGGATGGACCCGGCTCCGGACGATTGTCTATCTATTCCGTGTGCACCTGAAGAGGAAACGGTCATTCACCCATGCACTCTACGAGTTGTTTGCAGACCATTTGCAACAGTTCCCTGCCCTCACATTCCTACACGGTTAACGTAACACTATTCTATTTCCGATACTGTCGTCCTTGTCTTCTGCTCGTTCGGCTTTCTGTCCTTGTGGATTAATTGAACTACGCTTTTTAATCAAATTTTGCTACACACATCCTGTTCGTAGTATAGTCCGAACTTTCGTGAGCCACATTGTACTTTTCCTTTGGACAATTGTGATCAGACTTCATTTCCAGATGTAGATACACCCCCATTTTGGATATGCAGTTTATGCTGTGTTGCGCGCCGCCTTATGCCTGTCACATTGATTGTTGCACCCGGTCACCCACTCTCGCACTCCAAGGGTTAACAGATTGGACACTGCTGCCATCTCGCACCCGGCTTACTTGTTAACACAAAGACCTTATCACGGTCTGGATGCGGTACATGTGATTGCTTTGTTCCTAATTTTGTTATTTCTGTACAGCCATCAGTAATGCCTTTGAACCGACTTTGTCTTACAAAAGTGGAGTGCTTCGGTTGTCTTCGTTCGACTCTTGTACAGCCACCACGTCTTGTGTAACCTTGAAGAGGGGACTTCAAACGCGTTTTCTCGTTTGGTTTCGTGCCACATGTACATGATGCAGATACCCTTTTTGCTTTATGAACAACGGTGGCCCCCTGTTTTCAGCCAAATGCAAGTATAACGTCCACGACTCAAGCTTTTCCGAATGAGTTGACTTTTCATTACGATGTTTTCCAAGTCAGCTAGCCTACCATGCATCATGAAAGGCACTAGATAGCCGATTCGTTCCATTGGGAGACTTATCAGTAGTGCGCGTCTTTCTTCACGACCAGGTATCGAACCCATGATCTCTCGGCCCCGGTGGCTTTTGACGGCTGTGATGACGGTAGACCTCCACGAATTCCAAGGCAATTGCCATATAGTAGAACTATGAAACAATAACGGATAAAACTGAACGCTTAACAGGTCCCGTAGGATGGTTCAAATGAAAATATTAGTATTAACAAGGAGTGTGTCAATTGAACTGAATGTTCATAGTCGAAGACACCGAGATGTTCACATGCTAATAAGTATCAGTTCACCTGCTTGTGATTTTTGAAACCCACCGTTTGGTTGCATTTTGTGGCTTCCTGACTAACGGAAGTTAAACCACGAAATGTCAGTGGGACAATATCTCACCAAGTCGTTTTTAAATATCGTTAAGGTTTGGGACAGAAAAAAAACATGTTAGCGGAGCGTTTCACGGCGGGCACACTCGTTAGAAGAAACTTTTACGCCATTCCAGCCGGCTATACTGTATCGTCAACGTAAATGGATGATCTCTCAAGTCGGTGGTTCAGTTCTAACAAGCGGGCGACAAATGTGGCTCGGGTTTTACAGGATCTGGCAAACCATTATGAGGTCCCCACGCAAGCGCCGATATCGAATGGTGTTCATTCCTAGAGATTCCAAACTAGACTGCTAAGGTAGATGGAAGAAGCCCTTAACATTGTTGGTTGCCCTTCCTTGGGGAGTCTCGAGTGCAGCGAGATCTTGCCTCTGCCACGCTACGATGCCTGGATGGCATATTCCACCTGCGGTCCCGCGTACTGCTTGGGCAGTTGTGGAAGATTGAGGAGTCAAACCAACCGAAGGATCTGCGCAGAAGCCCAAAGCGTTGACTACAGGTTCTCGATGTCCTCTCTGCTTGTTTACATCATCCGCGGTCACCCTCATGAGAAGCTTTTTTCAAGGTATGGTCACCACGTTTGTAAATACTCACAGATTTATGACGCAGTTGGGTCTCCTTCCACCTAGATGTGTGTAACTGTAGTAGGTTCCTCGTTGGCCACTCATGAAAGCAATCCACATCGCGCTGGAGGAGGCTGTGATCGTCATTGATATGAATCGGTGAAAAGCAGGATATGGCACGGCTCATTTTCTATCATGTAGGAGTAATATTTGGATTTGACATAAGGGCAACGCTGATGATAAGCCTGCAGCTTATTCATTTTTGTATTTGGGATATTGGTTGGACTGCACTAGTCACATATCTTTTCCCAAACACACCTCTAGGCAGTGAATGGATGATGTCACCTTTCAAGCACTTACTAAAACTGCTTAAGTGGAATGAAGCCCTAGTTATGTTTACACGTCATCTCTGATGTGCTCTATCGGTACTAAACTTGTGCATTGCAAGGCGTTCAGCAGTTCACTTACATCGCCGTTTATTGCACCGCTCTTGCTTGTCATCAGTTATTGTGATGGCAGTCCCAACACTTTGTTTCGGACAACTTCGCATGAGAAATATGTGAATATTATCCGAGCATTATACGCTCGTAGCTCGGGCAGAGTGAGGGCTTACGGCAAGTTGTCGTCGCCCTTTAATATCTCCAGCGGCGTGAGACAAGGATGCCCGCTGTCACCTTTCCTCTTCAACATCGCTGTTGACGAAGTCATGGAAATCGCGTTCACAGGACACGACTTGGAAGGTGTGGAGCTACTCCCAGGAGAACGACTTCTTGATTTAGAGTATGCTGATGATATTGCCCTCATCTGTGACAGCTCACAAATGTGCCAAGCGGCACTGGACAGATTAGCACTAGCTGTCCGTCACTTCGGGCTTTGCTTCGCGCCCTCGAAGTGCAAAGCGTTTCTCCAAGATTGGTCTGGACCGCCTCCTACGCTGACCCTTGGTGGGGATCAGCTAGAAGTCGTTCAAAAATTCAACTACCTGGGAAGTTGTATCAGCGCCTGTGGGATTGAAGATGAAATCACGAATCGTATAGCAAAAGCTCGGGGCGCTTTTGCTAACCTTCGCCACTTATGGCGCCGGCGCGACATCACTCTCGCCCTGAAGGGTAGAGTGTACAATGCAGCAGTACTTTCGACCCTATTGTACGGTTGTGAAACCTGGCCGCTTAAAGCAGCGGACCTGAAGAGGCTAGTTACGTTCGACCACCGGTGCCTTCGTAATTTAGCTCACGTTTGGTGGGAACACCGCGTGAGTAACGAGCGTATTCGACGCCTTGTTTATGGCACAGGAAAAGGAACTGAACCGCTCAGCACCGTTATTTCACGCATCAGGCTCCGATGGCTCGGCCACGTGTTACGCATGCCAGCCCACCGACTTCCGCGACGTGTGTTGTTTGCGCGCCGGGGGTGTGGATGGAAGAAGAGGAGAGGTGGCCAAGCGATGACTTGGTCGAGAGGAATGAAGTCCCTCACTTCGAAGCTGGCCTCGGTTGGAGCGTCTCGGCTCCCTGGTTGGGGTCCGAAAGACGATGAACACGTTTGGTTGGACACACTTGCTGATATGGCTAGGAGCCGACCTCAGTGGCGTTCGTGCTGTGAGTTTCTTTGTCCCACCCCATCCCTTTTAGCCTCCCCCTCCAACCACGATCTCATTACTTAGCCTCATATAATTTTGCATAATAATTTTTTTTTGGGTGCACAGCAGCCGGCTGGTAGCTTACCGGAACGATGCCCATCCGTTACCGGTAGCTCAGCCAGCTTTCACCAGTTGTTTTTTTCTCTCCTTTTTTCTTTGTATTGCGGCACAGTAGCTGAGGTGTTTCCCACCTCCAGCTAACGTGTACGATGATGATGATGATGAATCATTTTCACTGAATTTACAGTCACCTCATGGAGCTGCGCTGTCGTTTTGATGTAGCCCGTCTACCTTTCGAGTACCGGTAACTAAGCGAGAGCGCGGGGCTATGTGCTAAATTGTGTACGCGTATATATCTGTAGGCATGATAAATATGCCTCAATTTCACTCGGTCACTGAACTCCACCCGAATTGGCCATCATTTCGATTCTCCATCCATTTGTTGCATATCTGGTGATCGAATTAGCCAAATTGTTACTGCAGAAATGTATTAGGTATGTGTGGAGTTTAAAAGCGTTTCTCGGTAGTGGTTGCAAAGATTGGTCGACTGACCAGTGGTAGATTGAACAATACTACATTACTCACCAATGGGCTATGATCACGGCGCTGATTAATGGTCCTTTACGAACACTGATGCCAGCAGATTGCTCAACTTTCGTGTGAGCACCCAATAATTAATATTAAAGTCGGCCAGCTGGTGTTTGGTCACCGTACATCGATGCCGCATTAAACTCACCTTGGACTCATTGTTTCGCTGCCAAACCATGTCTTTTGCATCAGTCCTAACTGATTAATTTGGTTTACATTTTGCTCCAGTATTTCACTTGCTTGGCAGACTTTCCTATGCGGCCGGTCGATGGCATGACAGTATGGTTTGACGAAACGTACGACAATCGGATTGGTGCTTGACGTGACTTCGGTTCGCTTTAATCATTTTTACCGAGCTCATTTGAGGTTACGCAGTGACACTCTGCCTTCCGCACTCATATTTTTTTCTCACTTCATTCATAAGAACTAAAATTAAAATTAAAATTATCAACCAAGCTCACAAGCTGTCTATGTCTCTAGGGAAGGAAACTTATCCTATCAGGGCCAACTTCCTTTGAGTGTACCAAATCGCATGTAATCGTGGAGTCACTTACATAGACAGAACGTACTGGAGTCTAAGTTCCCGAATGAAGACGGCCTACCCAAATGGGTTCAACACGAGATTGCGCAGCAAGCAGGCCCAAGTCAGATTACGTTTCCACGCATGCCACTGGCATCTCCTATCGAGTCATCGGATTGACGTCAACACGACATTCACGACTCTGTTGCACCAGATCGAGTACGGACTCCTCCGGTTCGTCGAGCGTGTTGCAATAAACCGGATTAGACCGGTGCTGTTTGTTCAAAAGCAATTAACAGTCAACCTTATAGTGCTCTGCATGCATGGGTAAGATTTCCGTTTTCCCTCACGTTCGTTTGCGTGATTGAGTGGCTTTTTCAGTTATCGTTATCGCACTGACGACGTGATACGAAGTGCATTAATCTGCCGAGTTTCATCTTCTCACGACGCTCTTCAAACTTAACATCTGTCTGATTTAAGTCGGTTTACGTCTTTTATACTACTTTAGGTTCTTCCGATTTATTTTAATTGGTGTTTTTGGCGACCTCACTCAAGATAACTGGATCTTTCTTAGTTCGACGCACGGATGATAGTTAATCAACTGATCTGATCCAATTTGTAGGATGGACCGTTAGCTGCACAGCACCGCTTGACCGACAGTCCTCGGGCAATTGGTAGGAAACTTCACCTTGAAATGTGGGAAGGTCATTTCAATGAAGTGCTGATCCAGCCCCGTAAATTCCGCCACAACTTCCGTATGTGTGTTATTCTACTGCGAACACAAGTTCTGCTGTAACAGCACTGTCTTTTATAAATATCTACTTGTCGACGCTTTGTGGCATAGTTGCAGTACATACAACCAGTTTTATCAACTTAACGGGATTTTGATGTACTCATGAGTAGGGGATTTTGATGTGATTAAGTGAGCTTCCTCGCAGCCAGTTTCCAAATCAGATAGTCATTCACATGCCCGGAAAATTGCTAGACTACGGTTTCAGCCTGTTGGGCATCGTCAGTAGTGCGCCTCCATCGGATCCATCAGGATTCGAACCCATGACCACCAGCGGCTTCAACCGCCAGTCAGCAGCTTATGTCACTGGGCCACGGGGAACAGTCTAGTGCTTTTCCGGGCATGTTAACGACTATCTGATTTGGAAACTGGCTGCGAGAAACCTAACTTATTTACATCAAAATCCCCTACTCATGAGTACA